TTTTTATAAAATTTAATTATTTTTGATTCAATTATCAAAAATAGAATTAAAATACTTTAAAAATCAATTTTTTCAGAATTTTAAAAAATATTTTTCGAAACTTCTATTTAAAAAAAAATTGTAAATTAAATCTTTTTAAAATTTACTAATTAATTGAAAATTCAATAATTTGTTCAATATTATTTTTCTTTTTTTTATTCACGTTTTGCTTTCATTTTTACATTTAAAAATTAATCCAATCGAGAAATTATAGAAAAAGGTAACAAATAACAATAAAAAAAAATAATTGAATTCCAACGAAGAGTTCTATTATTTATGAAAATTATTCAATTGATCCGAAGGATTTTATTTATTTAAAAAAAATAATAATTGAATTGATTCTATGAATTTTATTTAAAATTTGCAAAATAATAGAATTTTTTTGGGAAATTGAATTAAAATTTTATTAAAAATAATTGAATTTCAACGAAAATTTTTATTATTCATGAAAATAATTGAAATCTTTCGAAGAATTTTGCAATTTATGAAAATAATTGAATTTTTCGAAGAATTTTTAAAAAAATGTTTTAAAATAATTAAATTCCTACGAAGAACTCTTCTATTTATGAAAATAATTGAATTGATACAAAGAATTTTATTTTATAAAAATAATGAAAATAATTTCATAAGTTTTATTAAAATTTTGAAAAATAATGGAATTTTTTGGGGAAATTTAATTAAAATTCTATTAAAAATAATTGAATTTAAACGAAAAATTCAATTCTAGAAAATTTCAATTTTTTAACAAATTTTAAATTTCTTTTTTATTATTTTATTTTTTATTATTTTCGAATTATTTATCAAAAATAGAATTGAAGTACTTTAAAAAACCAAATTTTTCAGAATTTATTTTAAATAATATTTTTCGAAATTTCTATTTACAAAAAAATTATAAATGAAATCTTTTCGAAATTTACTAATTAATAAACTTTGTAATTGTATCTCTTTTATAATTAAATTAAAATTGATGCACTTTAGAATTTATTAAATTAAATTTCTTTGAAATTTCGATTTTTTTTTAAACTAAATAAATTTTATAACGAATTGTATTATTTTTCATAAAAATTTAAGTATTCTTAAACGATTGAATTAAAATTTCTTAGTAATCGAATTTTTACATCATTAAATAAAATTAAAATTCTTTAAAATTTCGATTTTTTTTGAAAAACTAAAGAAAATTTACAACGAATTGTAGGTATTATTTTTCATAAAATTTTTTTAAAAATTCAAGTATTTTTAAACAATTGAATTAAAATTTCTTTGAAATCGAATTTTTACAGAATTAAATAAAATTATCTAAATATTGAATAGTTTTTAAAAATTAAATATTGAATTATTATTAAGTTTTTTATAGTAATGCAAATTTCAAGAACTTAGTTTAAAATCTTCTGAAATTTATAATTATTTTTGAAAATTCAAAAATTTTTCAACAAAAATCTCTTTTATTCTAAATAGAATTAATTAACTTTAAGAAAGTTATTTTAGAATTTTGAATTTTAATTATTAATTTATTTTAATTTAAACTAAATTCAAGTATTTGTAGAAATAAGAAAAATTTAAGGCATTCTTTTGAAATTCATTGCGATTCAAAATTAAGTTTTCAATATTTTTCAAAAATATTTTTGATCATTAAGGGGAGGTTCTCATTGCGGGAATCAAAAAAATTTATTTCTTTTTTATTGTATTTTTTGAAAGCTATATATATGTAGAATATGTGTGTATAGCGATTTTTTGATCCGAAGAATATTTTCGTTCTTATGGAGTCTTGAACTCACCGGCGTCCCGAGCACTGAATAACAAATGTCAGGCAAATCGAATCGATTTTTAAAAATTTTGCAAATCTGACCTCAGAATCGTAAAGAGTGACCCTAAATACCTATAGATATTTATCAAATACGCAAATTGAACAAAGAATTGGAAAGAATTTAATTATTGCACAAAAATGTTTCTCAAACTTTAAACGCGTTTTTCTCGAAACAAGATTTTTCAAACTGGTGGGCATCGTAGCGTCTAAACTATTTAGTCAATCAACTTCGGGTTTGCGGCTAATTAAAGGTAACTAAATTCTACTGGGGTTATACCTATAATATGGTAAAATTGTTAACAATAGAGATTTTTACAAGAGGTCAAATATAGAAAAATAATGCAAAAACGCAGTTTTTTTAAAAATGTGTCCGCCATTTTGTCATTTTGTTAACTTTTTAACTATTTTATAGGTATAACCTATTCTTTAGGATGTCATCTTTATAAAAAATTTTGAGTTTTTGTTTTAGACTAAAAATTGCGCAGTGTAGAATGCCCACCGTTTTCCATATTTAAAAAAACATTATTTTCTAGATGCGCCATATTGGCCGCCATTTTGCATTTTTTTAAAAATGAAATATATGTTTTGAAAGTTCAAGAATGTATCTTTATTTAGAAAAAAGAACTACATCGCTAAGTCATAGCCGCTCTTTGCAAAAAATTGTCAAAGTTTGTGTTTATTTTGGCCTTTGCAATGAGAACCTCCCCTTAAACAGCTGAATTCTTCCAGTAATTCTAGAAATTTATTATTTTTCCAGTACTTCTGCAGGGTGGCCACTTTTTTTCTAAAAAAAAATTCACGGTCATTTCCCGGTCCATTCCCGGTCATAAATAATAACTCTGAAAATAAATTATTCCATGAAAGATTGAAAGAATTTCCTGATTTTTAGACAAAACTTTGACTTTTTCTCAAACCCTAAAAATATTTTAGTTTACTCTAAAAATAATTTTGAACTTAAATAGATTTTTTGAAATAAATATTTAATTATTATCCATTATTTTTCCATATAGTAGGTATTCAAATTTCAAAAAAAAATTCAAATTTCAAATCCTTTAAATTTGAATAATTTTTAAGAATTGCTACTGCAACTATTATTAAAAATTATTTTCAAAATTTCAATTCAATTATATTCTAGAAATAACTAAAATATTTCTAAAATCCACTTGTTTACAAGACAATTTCATGAAATTTTGAATAATTTGAAAATTTTTCAATTAAATATTACATATTTAAAAACATAACTAATTTGAAAAAATGTGAATAAAAATATTTCAAAAAAACTAACTTATTCAGAATTTTTAATTAAAATCTTTTAAAATTCAACTTTTCTAAAACTTCAATTTGAAATTTTTTAAAATTCAATCTATAATAATATTAGTAATATTAATTTAACATTCTAAAATATAGAAAAATTTGCTTATGAATAATTGTAAAAAAACTAATTGATATTAATGAAAAATACGGTTTTTTAAAATTTATTTTCTAAAAAAAGAAATTTTATTTAATATTATTGCAAAAAAAATTTTTAAATTGATTTATTTTTCACTATTTTATTAGGATGTGAAATTTTTTCTCTTTGAAATTTTTTTGACATATTTAATTAAAACTATATTTTGTTTAATTATTGTTAGAAATAGAAAGAATTTAAAATTAAATTTAATATTTTCTTTTTCTAAGTCTGTCACGTTGGACAACAAAATTCATAATTTTCTTATAAATTCTAGAAATTGAATATTTTTATAGTACTTTTTATAAAATTCTCTGACAAAATATAAATAGATTTTATAGAAGATCATTCAATCTTTTTTAATGAAATATAGTTAATACCTAAGTCTATTAAAATAAATATTTCTATTTTTTCTCACAAAGTAATGTGTGTTTAAAAAAAAATTCAAAAATCCCGGTCAAGATCAAAATTCACTGTCATTTCCCGGTTTTTCCCTGTCCAAAAAAATTCACTGTCATTTCCCGGTTTTCCCGGTTTCCCGGTCCAGCGGCCACCCTGTTCTGATAAAATTCCCTGACTTTTTCGTGATCTAATTGACGAATTTTATTTTTCCTAAATTCCCTGACTTGTGTCAAACTCTGAAAAAATAAATTAAAAATAAAAATGAATTAAAAAAGTAAAATAAATAATAAATCTTGTTTTTAGACGTATTTTTTGCAAAACATTTTCCGTTTAAATAAATAAAATACAATAAAAAAAGGCAAATAAAAAAATACAGAAATAAAAAAAAATACATGAAATAAAATAAAAACGTGAATAATAGAAAAATACGAAAGCGATAAAAAATAGATAAATTAAGACAAATAAATAAAAAATACGCAAAATAAAATATAAAATTTGATACGTGTAAATAAATGAATGCAAAAAGTAAATAACAGAAAAACAAAAGAAAAATACAAAAGCGATTAAAAATGTATAAACTAAAAAAATTGAAAGAATTGGAAAAATAAAATATAAATAAAAGAATTTAAAAAATAAATAAAAAATATATAATAAATATTTAATGAATTAATTTAATGAATGAAATTTAATGAATATTAAATTAATTGACAATTTTTTCTTGAAAAATTCTGGGAAAATTCAAATAAATATTTAAGTTTTCTCGAAAACAAAATTTCAGAGCAATTCAACAAATGGACTCAATGAATTAAAAAAAAAAAATTTCGCTCAGAAAATCGGAAAATAAAAAAAAAGAATCCTAGAAATCTTTAATATTGAGACGAATCCCTCTTCACCGGAAATTAAAATTCAAGAGGCAATAATTGGATTATAAATTTATCCGCCGGAATCGCAGTTGGCAAAGAAAAGGAAAAGTATATAAAGTGTGATGTACATCTTCGTCCCCATGAGATTTTATGGATGTAAAGACCGCCCATGGGTGTAACGTGATGTCAAGACTCGAATGGAAATACAGAATTCTTTTTTTTTCTCCTGTCGCTAACGGTTTAAATTTGTCGCCTTCTTTTTCTTCCTCTTCTTCTTCCGCAAGAAAAAAAAAGAAATGAAAAGAGACAAGTGGATATATATATATATATATATATATATAGTATATATCTAAAAAAAAGGATGAAAATAAGAAGTAAAAAAAAGAGGGAAAAGAGAATAAAAAGAAAAAAAGAAAGAGAGAAAGAAGTGGAAAAAAGAGAATACCTAAGGAGGGACTCTCGTCGTCTGGAGTGAGACCGATACTAGGTTCCGTGCTGCTACCGCAATCGCCAAGTCCGACGCCTCCGCCGCCACCTTCACCCTCGGTTTCGTGCTCGTCGTATTCTGAGAGCACTTTGTCCAGCAGCTCAATCGATCGTTGCACATCGTCACCTCTGGAACAAACGTAAAATTTCATTCTATAGTGATAATGAGTTTATTAAGTCCATGATCTTATACTGTTAGAATTTATTTGATAAAATAAATTTCCCCAATTTGGTACGATTATTACGAATTTTGTTATTTCTATATCCAAACTCAAAATTCACAACCTCGATCAGGGTTGTCATTAAAATTTAATTTTCTTTTTTCCTTCAACTTTTTCTGATTTCCAGATAAAATTTTCACTTTTTCCCTGAAACTAAAGAATATTTTGATTCACTCCAAAAATTATTATAGATACAGGCCTCGGATCGACTTTAACGAACAAAAAAAGTCGATTTAGTCGATTAAAAATAGAAAAAAAGTCGTTTATTTAATTTAGTGTTGTCACATAAATATTTTATTTTCTATTTCCCTGATTCTTCACTGATTTCTAAATTCAATTAATCAAAACTTGTATAATTTTGCTAAATAAAATATTTAAATACTTCTTATTTCTTTTTTTACCAAGAAATAAAATTTTAAAAATTAAATTCTGAAATTTAATAATTTCTAAAAATTAAAACTATAACCCTTACAAAAATTCAATTATTTTCTAAAATTTTAAACTAAACTTCATTTCCAAATCAATTATCTATATTACTTTTTAATATTTTTCCAAAAATTCTTCAAGAATTCAACAGGGTTGCCACAAATATTTAATTTTATTTTTCCCTGACTTTTCCCTGATTTCCAGAAAAAAATTTCACTTTTTCCCTGACCCTAAAGAATATTCTGATTCACTCTAAAAATTATTAGATACTCAAAAAAATGTTCTATTACATTTATTTACAAACTTCTTTAATTGTAAAATTATTTAGAAACATCAATAACTTCTTTCTTAAATAAATATTTAATCATTATTATTTTTCTGTAGGAATTTAAATTCTTCAAAATATTCAAATTTAAACCTTTTCCAAATTCAACAACTTATGAGAATATTATTACAAAACACGAAGAAGTCTTCTTCATGTTTTGTAATCATTTAAATTGCCATAACATTTTTTAAAATAAGTTAATTATTTACAAAAATCCTAAAAAAATCCTTCGCAAGAATTCAATTATTTTTACAAGAAATACAATTTCACAAAAAAATCAATTATTTAAAAAAAATGTAATAAAATTCGTTGCAATAATTCAATTATTTTTATAAATAATAATAAATCGATTATTCCTTTATTCATTTTTAAATCAACTTTTATTAGAAAATTCTAAAAAAATTCAATTATTTAAATTAAAAAATAAATAATTTATTGAATAATTGAATGTTTGTTAAAATTGAATTCTCATAAAGAATTTTAACAATAAAATTTTAAATAATTGAATTCGTTTGACAAATTTTAATAAAATTTTTAAGAATAATTACATTTATCGAGGAATTTGATTAAAATATTGTATAAAAAATAGTTCATAAAAATAATAATTAAATAAATAATTAAAATTTTCATAAAATAATTGAATGTCGGAGAAAAATTTTATTATTTATATAAATAATTGAATTTCGGTGAAGAATTTTATTATTTATAAAAATAATTGAATTCTTAAAAAGAACTATGTTAAATTTTTTTAAATAATTAAATTCTTGCGACGAATTTTATAAAAATATTTTTAAATAATTGATCATTTTCGAAAAATTTTATGAAATTTTGTATTTTAAATAATTGAATTCCTGTGAAAATTTTATTACTTATGAAAATAATTGAATAATTTCAAAGAAATTTATTAAATATTGAATAATTGAATTCCTGTGGAATTGTGACAAGAATTTTATTAAAATTTTTAAAAATAATTGAATTTCGATTAAGAATTTTATTATTTATAAAGATAATTTAAATTTTGACGAGAATTTTTTTTTAATTTTTGAACATAATTGAAATTTTGCGAAGAATTTTTGTAACTTTTGAAAATAATTGAATTTCTGTAATCATATGTTACTTTTCCAAAATCCAATTGTTTTTTAGTATTTTTAACTGAAATTCTTCTATCAATCTAGTATTTATGAGAATTGTAAAAATTATGTATAAAATAATTTGTAAGTCATAATTTTATGATAGTTTTAAAAAAATTAAGTTCTTTAAAAAGAAACTATTGTCAGAAATTGAAAAAATTGAAGGTTTTGTATTAAAATTCGAGGTAATTTTATAATTTACGAGGCAAAAAGGAAAAAAATTCAGAGTTTTCTCATGAATTTTAAAAATTCAATTTTTTCCAGTACTTTTAGTAAAAATCCCTGACTTTTCCCTGACCAATTTTACTTTCCCTGAATTTTCTCTGATTTCCCTGACTTCCCTGACCTGTGGCAACCCTGATTCAATTACTTAAATACAAAAAATTCAATTTTTGATAATAATTGAAATCGTTCATTTTTCTTTTTAAAGATATTAAGGTAGAATGTATTCAAAAATTTTAATAAATAAATTCGTAAAATTAACTTTTTCAAAATATTTCTAAATAATTTTTGAAAAACGCAATATTTTTACAATTACATAACAATAAAAAAATTCTTTTAAAAAATTTAAATTTGGTAAAATCTTTTTAAAAAATAATTTAAATTTAGTAAAATCTTTGAAAAATAATTAAAATTTGCAATGAATTTTAATAAAATTCCAGAAAAAAATTGAATTTTGCAAAGATTTTAATTAAAATTCATGAAAATAATTGAATTTTTCAATAAATTTAGAAAAAAATTCTGAAAATTGAATTTAGACAAAATTTTTTATTAAAATTCCTGAAAATAATTGAATATTGCAATAAATTTTTTAAAAATTCCTGAAAATTGGATTTAGACAAAAATTTTATTAAAATTCATGAAAATAATTGAATTTTGCAACGAATTTTCATAAAATTTCTGAAAATTGAATTTAGACAAAAATTAAATTAAAAATTCTTACGAAAAACTTTTTATTAAAATTTTTGAATAACAATAATAATAATAATCAAATAATTTCAAAAAAAAATTCAATTAAACTTTTCGAAAAAAATTAATTCTACAGAATTTTTAGTTAAAAGTATGAAAAATTCAAATTTTCAAAGATTTTAATTTTAAACCTTTTGAAAATTCAATTACTTCTAAAAATTCATGCTCTAATGTTTTTAATATTTAATTATTATCGAAATTCTCCGATAAAGAATTCAACTATTTTGATAATATTTTTGTTGAGAATTCAATTATTTTTAATTGTAATACAATTCTTTAAAAAAGATTAAATTATTTTCATAAAATTTTGTTTAAAAAGTAAATAATTTCACATTAAAAATTACAAAAGTCACGAGTAATTGTTTGAATTCATTCTCAAAAGAATTCAATAATTAATATAAAATAAATTAATAAAATACTACGAAAGAATTCAATTAATCAAAAATTTTTTGATAAAATTCTTTATGAAAATTCAATTATTTTGCATTACGATTTTTAATATAAAATTGAATGAAAGAAAATTTTCAATAAAATTCTGTTCATGAATTAAAAAAAATTTTATATTAAAAGTTGTAAAGGTTTGGAAAAATTGATCGAATTGAATTTACTGAATAAAATAAATTCTTCTAGTTACTTAATCCCTTGAAATGAAAACATGAAAGAAAATAGAAAAAATAGATTCCATTTTAATTAAATTTCGATAAGATTTTAGAATTGTTAAGAAGAGAATTTTAGAATTGGAAAGAAGAGAGAGAGAGAGAGAAAGAGTAAGAGAGAGGGTGAAAAATATCTTAGTCTCTTTAGAATCTCTCAAGCTAATCTAATGGATCTTTCAAGATTGCTGAAAATCTAATGGATCTCCCTGTTGATATATTCAGAGCCATGCTAAAGTCTTTTTTAACTCTGAAAGGCTCTTATTTAAATCGTTTTAAATTCCTTTTTGTCAGTGACCGAAAATAACTTGGCATAATAAATGCGATAATATTTCTCGATCAATAACATTCAAGAATCCGCCAAATTTTTATTAATATTTATAAAATTTATTTATACGTATTATTATTTTCCATTTAATTTTGTCTTTATATTTAAAAGTCACGAAACTAGAATTTGGCTCATTATGATATTTGACGTTAAAAAAATTCACAAAGTTTGTATTCAACGATTGAGAACAAAAATTTTTTTTCACAATTTGCAAAAAAAGAAATAGTTTTCTATTTCTTTTTTTGAAAAAAATAAAATTTTCTTTTTATCAAAAAATTAATTGAATGATTAATTAAAATTATTGTAATGAATTCTCCTGCAAAGAAAGAAAATCACCAGAATTCTTAAATTTATTCAAAAGGATACAATTTTTACTACTCAAAAGTTGTAAGCGATTAAAAGGATACAATATTCTTGTGTTTTACAATTGAAAAGTGTATTTCTCTTCATCAACTATTGCAACACTTTGGTAAAATTTTCCCCTCCTTTTATAATCTATAGGACGAAGTTGAATTGTTCGTTTCTCCTCCCTCGTAAATAACTTTAATTATCAAGAGCCACTGCCCACGCCTAACTTGCAAGTCTATCATTTTCTATTCAAGTGAGGACCCACGTTTAGAGAGGAGTATGAGTATATGTATTGCTTTCTCTGCGTAGGGTGAGGTCGTAATTGCAACGTTTATGCACACGATTCACGTTTAACACGCTATCAAAGATAAAACCGACAATTAAAGACAAAAAAAACGGGAAAAGAAACTAAAGAAAGATGATAGACAAAAAATTATTATTTTTCCTATTCTTCACTTAACAATTTCTACTGATATGCAACCCACGATATTCTCACCTTATTTGTAGTTTTACGGAAATAATGCAACGATTATATACTGTAAAATAAAAAGATCAAGTTAATTTATTATTTTATACAGGCCGGATTAGATAATATTAAAAGGAAAATTTAGTCCATTTAATCTGTGTATGTATGTGGATAAAAAAGATAAAAGTGGCGCACGTCTTTTAACTGAAAAACGTTACTGATTTATGACTAAACTTCAATAAATAGCGAATTTCAGACAATAA